GAAGTTGAGTATGGCTGTTACACTTAAAAGTGCTACCAAACACACTCATCCCAATCCGTAAGATAGACGACGCATCGCTATGCGTTACGACGCCGCCCACGTCCGGTATGGGTGTGCGATGTCCTCGGGCAAAGCCGTATTGCCACAACAAACCCGCTTACCACCGGCACAAAGGTGATATGTCTAGGTAATATCGGTTAGCGAGTCCAAGTTTACCTCGGACCAATTGCTCGTGAAGCAGCAAACACGCCACCATAATATTCCTTTTCGAGTCCCTAAAAAGGACTAGTCATTTTCGCTACAGTACTAAGAGCAGTCGGTCACCCGACCACCCCATATAATGTTTATGCATCAAGGAGACCATCTATAATAATGCTTTTGTATCATTGACCTTACTTTCATAAGTCATTAATATATAGGACTTCAACCCACGATTCTACTATTGTAATGCAAATTCATCATAGAGACCTTCCATAGTATTGCTTTGTATCATTGAGTTTATTATCATAAGTCCCTAATATGGGACTTGTCATTGTGCTATACAGTACTTCAAGCAGTCGGGCACCCGACCACCCCATATATATGTACAACTGCGGATATGTATCTCCGGCAGCTCCTCCATACAAGACATCTATACATGAACACCTTCCATGACTTAGAACAATTTTTAACAAATTTTCTAATTATCTTGTAAATGTAATTTATCTTTATTTTTATAATATTTTCGACTTGTATTTCTATTATTTATCATATTTTTACAAGTTTCTTTAAATAAATTTATTTATTATGAAAATGTCCCTTTGTATTGAATTTAATTATTAATAATAATATTGGGCCGTCACAACTAGTTACCTTACAAACTATCTTAATTACTACTGGTCTGTCTTAACAATTAAACCTAGGCTTATATACTATGTTGAAACGTGCTGGTTTTTGCTTAGCAGGATGTAGGTGACTTCCTGATGGCACTGTGTTGATTATACTTAAGTTACGCGCTGTTATTTGCTTAGACTGCAATGCTATATTGTACGTGACTTCTTGCTTGCAAGGTCTCGGTAGGCATTTGTAACTCCTCCACCCTCAGTGCGACGACTACTGCAGCACATTCAACCAAAATGTCGCTGGGATGTATTCGTGATGGCTTTTTTTTATTGATCCACCAACATTTGTATAATTCCTTAGATGCTACTTAAATACAATGATGCGATAAGAACTAAAATGTACAAATAATTACAAGCGGATACAACATGCAATTAACTTTCTCAGCACTGTGTACCTCTATTACTAGGATAAAGAAAGAATTAAAAATTGAAAGAAATTATAACTAAATACAAATAAAAATATATAGAAGCGAAAAGGAAAGAACATATTTTATAGAATGTTACAAAAGATGGTCTCTTAAGGTGCGACGGAGCTTGTTAGGTGGGTCGAAAAATATATCAATTTTATCTCTAAATTTGTTAACAAGTTTACTCAATCTAGCAATTGGGGAATTGGAGCCAAACACTGTTCTTCGATATGGTCTAGTCAATGGTGTAATCTTACGAGCGTAACGCGGGTAACGAAAGGGAACGCATATATTAAATTTACTTAAAATTTCAGGACAGTCAATAACACCACTAATAATTTTAGAAGCAAAAATCAAATCAATAATATCCCTGCGGTTTTCAAGAGAAATCATTTTGAAATTGATCAAATTATTTTCATATGATACACGCTTCTTATTACTTCTAAATCCGCTTGCGTATGACAAATGTCTTATAAATCTTTTTTGGATCCCCTCGATTCTCAGTGAATGTGTAGCGTAATGAGGTCTCCAGACTACGGCACTGTACTCTAATATACTTCTTACCAAACTGTTAAATAAAAGAATTTTAATTCTAGCACTTCGAAAGACTTTGATATATCTTATGACAAAACCCAACATTCTAGATGCACGTTTAGTAATGTTTTCAATGTGCGGTACGAAAGTTAATTTTTTATCAAATATGACCCCGAGGTCCCTAATTTCGTCTAACTGCTGTATTTTATTACATCCAATGTGATAGCTATAGTCGATAGTGTTACTTTTTCTCGCATATTGCACATAGAAACATTTACTAATGTTTAAGTCCATACGATTTACTTTGCACCATTTAATCAGTTGATCAAAATCGTTCTGTAGCTTTATTGAATCGTTCTCTTCCACAATCGTCTTGCAAATTTTTAAGTCATCCGCATACAAGTACACACGAGACCATTTTATCAATTCTGGAATTTCATTTACGAACACCCCAAACAGAATCGGTCCAAGGTGAGACCCTTGGGGCACACCAGAATTAATATTTTTTAATCCTGACTGATATCCATTCACCACCACAAAATACGCTCGGTCCTTTAAATACGATTTTAGCCATTTTAACATACTACCAGTAATGCCGTAGGCAGCTAACTTACGAACCAATATGTCATGTGGGACCCGATCAAATGCTTTGCTAAGATCAGTATATATTACGTCGACTTGTTTCCCCGCATCAAGTGCTTCAATTAATATTTCCGTAATATGTACCAAATTAGTGCTCGTAGACCTAGATTTAACGAACCCATGTTGGCTAGTGGTTAAGTAAAGATTGATATGTCTCTGAATATAAGGACAAATAATTGACTCTAATAATTTAGCAAAGACTGATAATATAGAGATCGGCCTGTAATTTCTTACATAATCCTCACTGCCCGTTTTATGAACCGGAACGATTTTAGCTCTTTTCCATAGAGTAGGAAATTGCCCAGTACAAAGAGAAAAATTGAATATAATTAATAGTGGATTAACAAGGTGATCAGCACATCTGACTACAAACACTGGAGGGATTCCATCAGGACCTGCTCCTTTATTACATTTAATGCTTTTTAATTCATTTAATAGGGTATCATGATCAATTTTCAGCTGTGCTAGGTGAAGGCTAATTCATTAATTTCAAGGACTCTGAATGGTCATAAACATAATCCTGCTCTGTACATTTAGTATTTTCAGAGTACACGGATGAAAAGTGTGAAGAAAAAAGATCGCAAGTTTCCACTCCATCAGAAGTTACCGTCGTACCGTCAGTCATTGATAGGGGATAGGCGCCTGAACCACCACGTTTCGCCTTGACAAAGGACCAAAACAGTTTTGGGTTTTTTGCTATGTCACACTCCATTAGTTTTATATATTTGTTGTAGCAATTTGTGGCCATTTGCGTACATCTTTTACTTAGCAATTGCAGTTCAAGCTCATCTCTAGGATTTTTATATTTCTTGTGACGACACCTAACTTTATACCTTTCTTTTAGAGTTCTAATTAGATTCCGATCAAACCAAGGTGGGTAGTTGGTGTTCTTTGACGATTTGTTGGGGACAAATTTTTTGATAATATCCCGAATTTTCTGGTAGAAAATTTGTAGCATATTATTTACATCTGTCAACCCATCAAGTAGCTTGACCCAATCACAACTCGCTAATTCTTTACAAATACTATCATAGTCAGCTCTATAAAAATTTAATTGTACGTTTTCAGTGTTATAAGGTAATCTATTTCATTTAATAGCTTAATACTTATGTCAAGAGGAGGATGGTGCCTGTCAACTTTGCTGAGGGGGCAAAGTGCCTGTTCTACTGTGCAGTTTGGTAAATTTGCAATAACCAAATCAAGTGTTCTATTTAAACTCTGATTCTTTATACGACTGTACTGCTTCAAATCATTGACGTTTAAAAAATCAATAAATGACTGACTAACAGTGGAAAGCTCGCATTTCGCAGGATCCTCATCTAACAAGCTCCAATTTATGAAAAATAGATTAAAATCACCCACTATACAATGTAGACACTTCTCTTCCAGGACGCTAGTACATGTGTCATAAAATTTATCATAAGTTACACTTTTTACAGGAGATGGTAAATAAATGGCACAGAAAGCAATTTGATAAATTGAGTGTGAAACTGGCGCTTCGACTAAAACCCATAAATCCTCCAGATCCGACTCCCAAGCTTTTAAACGCTTTGATTTTAATTTCCTAGATACTGCTATTAAAACCCCCCCCTCCCTCTTTCTTAGTACTACTGGCAGAAGATCTATCTCTTCTATATACTACATATCTAGGGTCAAAAAAGTTCACTACTCGAAACAGAATCATTTAGCCAGGTCTCAGTGAGTATTATTATTTCATAGTTGTTACATAGTATTTGATTATAGAAACCATGTGTTTTGGTCTTAAGACCACTACAATTTTGATAGTACAATTTTAGCGTATCGTATTTTATTAAAAACCCTACCATATAACAGACAATAAGAAAGAAAGGAACAAAAAGAATTACTTAAATAAGTTTTTTTAGAGTTTCTAAACTTTTTACCAGAATATAGTCACTCTCATCGGTCTTCCTCATAAATATTCTACCATTACGCACCCACACATATTTATATCCGCTCTCCTTTGCTTTGAGTCTAGCCGCCGCATGAATAGCCTTATTCACTGGCGATAGATGTTCAGTTACAAAAACAGGAGTGGTGTGTCCTATTAATCCAAGATGTGTAGCATTAAGTTTGTTTTGTGAGTTCACCTTGTTGTATTTTGAGGCCATCTAGGTGAAGCTAGATGCACTATTATAGATCTTGGACGCTTGGATTCGCGATTCATTTTGGCAGTGCGTGTACAATTTAGAATGTCCTTTTCATTCAGAGAGCTACCAATGACTTCACTCAACTTTGTTATCATTGTTTTAAGATTTTCATTTTTTGACTCAGGAACGTTCTGGAGTTCTAAATTACATTGACGGGAGTGTTGTTCTATTTGATTGACTCTCTGAGCTAATGCATGTACAGTTCCTTTCAGTTCTGCATTCTCTTTCTCCAAAGTTGTTACTTTTAGTTTAGAGGCTTCATTTTCTTTCTTTATGTCTTCATACTGATCATTAATGAATGTTAAAGATTCCTTAATACTCGACAATTCATCTCTCATTGGTTTAATTTCCTTCGCGAAGAATCCAACCAAGTTTTCTTTAAATCTTTTAAATAGATCGTTCATTTTATCATCCATCACACCTTCTACCACTTGACGGATGTCTTCCATAGAAATGTTCACTTTTTCGGGATCAGACTGTGGCGATCCAATGACTATTCTTTTGTTTCCTCTTACGGTACTGACATTTCTCACAGGTGTATTATCTTTATTTGCCGTTTTTGGTTGTAGGTGGACACATTCAGGGCATGCCCATGTCGCTAGTAAATCAGAGGTAATAATTTTACGATCAATTATCATACATGCATAATGATATTTTCTTTCACATTTAACGCAAACAATAAATTCGTCACAGTTATCATTTTCGGAAAAGCAACAGCCCCAATTCGCATTAGACATCATAAATCCACTCAAATATAATTAGGTTACGATCAAAAGACAAACCATACGATCTTGTACTCGTGGATGCAAATTATTTATTATATTATATTTTTTGTTATTGCACGGAATTATCGCTGTACTATCAGTATTACCTTATCAGTAATCGGTCGGGCGATGCATTACAAACTAGCCGGGCGTATGCGACTATTAACAGTCTACAGTCCGAGTAAGATCGCAGTTTGCGTATCAGGGAGCTCAGCGCACCGGCACTCACAATTATTCCTCTACCGCTCAATGTAAACAAAAACAAACGATTTCAACTTTTCTTTGTTTAAATATACTTTAAGACTAGGTTTTCTTGAGAATTTTATATCACAACACAACCTTACGCACTATAATTACGAGATCTTATGCATACTAACTTTAAACGTGATTAAAAACTTTCGAAACAAAATATTACTTAGCTTAATAAGGCTTAGTAGGCATTTGTAACTCCACCCTCAGCGCAGTGACTCAGCACAGAAAATGTCACCGGGTCGTCTTAGGAGGTTCTCACTCGTATAAGAATTTTAAGATTTTTATCGAATTTTCTACTATTCGCTTTCTTTCTATTTGCTTAGACTGCGATGCTATATTGTAGATGACTTCCTGCTTGCTTGCAAGGTCTCGGCAGGCATATGTAACTAGCGTAGTATTCTGTTGTTTTGGTTGTTGCTGATATTAGTTGCGATACGGATGTTATCGTTGATTATAATTATTGTTTTCGTTACCTGGAAAGTCGCCAAATAAATTTGAGCGCCTAATTTGACCTTTCGGTCAGGGTACCGATTGCAGTAATCCTGTATGGTGACTCCGATTAGGTGTAATTTGTTTCGGTAGGGGGCTTGTACGTGTAGCCACTGGTTTATGACCCTACGAAAAATAAAATATTAACTATTGAAGAACATGTGAAGTTGCATAAAACTAGGCAAATATTCGTCCTACGAGGTGATGTAAATTGGAGGCCTATGTTCAAAAGTAGTCTTGTGATGGGTACATTTTTACATTTTTTTACTGCCGCGATCAATGAAAACAACAATATTTTTCTCGGGGCTCAAGAGCTCACGTATATATAATTATACTCGTCATAAATTACGATCACACCAAACGGAAGATTTTGTCGAATACTGTATAAGCACCGCTGTAATGTCGTGTATTCCGAAGTAAACAGTTACATGTCTAAACTGCTTTATCTTTTAATTTTGAAATTTTTGAGTTTGCAAATTTCTACGAGACAAGTTTTTCATTCAAGTTTAAGATACTGTGGTGTTAAAAATGTACTACATCCTTGATACCCATTGCCTTTAAAAATTTGCAATAAAACAATAAGATTATTGTTATTTTTTTACTGAAGGGCTTAATTTTTCGATGAATGTTTTTTGTTTTATTATAGGATTATATTGAGAAACCGTGGAGGCCACAAAATAGGTCCTGGACGCGGAATCCGTGTCGCTTGCGCTTCTAAATGAGGAGCTGGCGAACAAATGCGAACTTGTCCATACAATCAGTATTTTTTTTAATTGTATTTTATACCTTAGAAAGTAAACATCTTTGCATTGCCGAAATATTTTTAATCAATTCCAGCTTTTTCTCATAGAAAAACAACTTCTAAATTTGCTTTTGTATTCAAAACGAACTTGTCCTGTTTAAAGTTAAATAAAATTTGGCATTGTTTCGGTTTTCAATCAAACCAAGACAAAAATAATACAAGTATTTTAATGTTAATGTATTTTCAAACAAACTGTGACTTGTCCGTTTAAATTAACCAATATTTTTACGTGGGAACACTTATTTAATTATGGCAACTATTTTCAATAAAAAAGTTAAATCAGCTGTTACAATTTTGTTGTCAAAAGGTTGTAAGTAATTGAAGTTTTGGTTTTTAAAATGGCAGAAAACGAGTCAACTGTAGCTGATATCAATGACGGCACTCGTTAAAGGGAAAAAAGGAACGGGCTGCTTCAAAGAGTAGGAATACAAAGTAAGTGTTATTTTAAATTTGGTTACCTACATTACTGTAAATTTTAGGTTATGTTTTCCAATTCAAACCTGATTCATTTTGTTTTAGGTCCGTAGATAATGACCCTCTTCCTCTGAACTTTGAATCAGTGTGTGATCATAAAAAAGGGGAAATTTAAATGCCAAACTTTAACAATTAACGAAATTGTATATAACAGCAAGTTGTTGTATGAGAAAGCTTGCAAAAATGAACAAGATGTATACCTAGTGCGATTCATATCACCATGTCCAATCGTGAGGGAACGGTCGAGGGTTACATCTATGAAACCTCAGAGAAATAAATACTTTGTGACTTTCTTTCTTTTTTTTTTGAGAGATTCTAAACGTATTGTTAAAGTGTGCAAGAAGTTTTTCTTAGCTGCCTTAGGTCTTGGGAAGCACAGAGTGAATACCATTGCTAATAAAATATATGAAGGGAAAACGGCCTATGACAACAGAGGCGGCGATCGCAAAAGCGCTCAAAGTTTAGAGAAAAAAGAGAGTGTGAAAAAGTTTCTGGCTGCATTGCCAGCTAAAGAATCACATTATAATAGAAAAAAATCGAGGCGTGCTTATCTTTCTTACGAGTTGAACATAAGAAAACTGACCGAAACAACGTTTCGACGAGTTTTTGAAAAGGATTTTAATATTGGGTTCTCTTCTCCATCATGCGATATCTGCAGCACGTGTGAAGTATTGAAAAATAAACAAAAAATTCGAAAAAGATCCCCAAGAACTTCAATCACTAAAAGTACAGCTTCATGTTCACAAAATAAGAGCTAAAAGATTTTTTGAACTTAACAAACCCAGAAAATTCTTTGACAATCTGCTTCGACCTTCAACAAATACAGTGCTTTCCAAAGACGCCCATTCAGGAATCTTTTTATTTGAGGCAAATCGGACTGTATGCATTTTGTGTTACAGACATTCCTACTAAAGAACCACATTTTTTTATTTGGACGGACAATCAGGCCAGAAAAGGATCTGCAGAAATAGCGTCTGCTCTTTTGACGTACCTGAATTCTGCCGACTTATTGGGAGTTGAAGTTGTGCGCCTTTTTTGCTGATGGATGCGGAGGGCAAAAAAAAACTCACGTAGTGCATATATTAAAGTTTTGGCTAAAAAATTACGCCCCGGCAAATGTGACTAAAATCGTTTTAACATTCCCCGTGCGAGGTTACATAGCTTCTTGCTAGCTGATAGGGTGTTTGGCAGAGTTGAAAAAGATCTAAGAAAAAAACCATTCATTTTGAACACAGAAACTTACCAAGAAATTTATACTAAACACGGAAAAGTACATAAGTTGGCTGAAGACTGGAATCTTTACGATTTTAAACAACTGGAAACCTATTACAAAAAGGTGGACAACATCAGGGACGCAAAAGTAATAATAATAGAAAGAAAAGCAAGTTTAAAAGATACTCGAAACATACACGATTCATCAAGCAGAAGGCAGGGTTCTATCGCGTCATCCAGGGGGGAAAACTCATCAAAGATGTGGCAAAGGTAGAGGACGCGAGAGATCACGTGGTTTTCGATGAAGAAATGGAATTCGAGACGAGAAAAGTTTCACTTATATACACTGTGGCGTAAAAGTGTCAAATTTTTATAATGTCCCTGAAGATGAACTTAGCGCAGTGTCTTTGCTAAAATCATCACAGAATCATCCGTCCCATCTTCGCAGACTTCCGCTGGTGAATGAGATTAAGCAGCAGAAAAAGAAAGACGTGGAGAAAATCTTGACCAAACAGTTCGGAGATCAATGGTCACAAAATCCTGAACTTGAATGGTATAAAACCATTATTTCCAATGAAACAGCTACTACATCTCATCATACATGTGCAGAAAATAACGTCGATGATGATGATGTTGACTCCGATGTCGAGGAATGTGATTGTTGCGAGCCCGATCTGCAAGAGATTGTCTAATTTTGTCGATTTTCGTGATAAAATTTTCGATATGAAAAATTTGAGTTTCATTTCAAATACGAACATGTCCATCAATTTATCAATCAAAACCGGAGTTGTCCAAACTTTAGAACAAAACCAGACTTGTCAAAGACAAAAAAAAAATAAATAAATAAACATCTATTCAGATTTTTGATAAACACGCAAGGGATAGGTTTTTGTGTTTTAATGACGCTCGCATGCACTAAAAATCAGAAATCTGTCAAGTTTTTTTTTGCTTGTTTAAAAACTTTGCCTCTCCTGTAAAAAAATCATTAATCGGACAAGTCCGCATTTGTTCGCCAACTCAAATTCTTCATCTTACGCTGTACTGTATCCGCTGAATTTCTTCTTCTTATGATATTGACTTTCATGCTGTATACTTCTGTGCTGTGCTTTTCTTGCTATAATATAAGACTTGCTTGTGTTGGTGGAATTATAAAGTAATTATTTTATTGCCGCTTGTAAAGTAGAGTGCGTGTGATTTGAATTCCGATTCCGAAACATTTTATGAAGTTATAAAGCATCAAAATGCCTTCATGAGCTGTGAACTCGTGTGGGAAACGTTCCAAGACATCTAGTTACAAAAAGGATGACATAACGTTTCATCGGTAAGTAAACAGTACGAAGGGCGGGGGTTAATCCACTCCTAACTTTTTGATATTATCAATAGGACTAGATTAACACCTATTATGCTCTCCTGTTCGGCGAGCAGTTTGGTGTATGGTTCTGGGGGAGAGCGCAGGTCCCCCAGAGCAAGTCTGAGGAGCTCTCCTTCACGTGGTTGCCGCCTGTTATTTGGTCTGGTTCAATAGAAAACAGACAGAACAGAAACACTCGGCCGATCCTCTTTTTCTTTTCTTTTATCAAACCCCTTTTCCTATCCTGACCCAATCCTAGGTGTCAAGCGTACCGTGCCGATAGATGCGTTGCTGGAGGGAGTCCAGTCTCAAACGGTGCCTTCCCCGAGACCAGGGCGATTCGGGTAGTATTTTAGTCTTTCCCTCGGCATGCGGGGTGCCAGGGGTGACCGAGTATTTTCCTGGCTAATCGTGGGAACAAAATGGACGAAAACCGACATTTTGAAAAATCTTGTAAGAGGCTCTTTTAGCCTCACCAATACTCTGCAACATTGCGCCCCAACCTGGGAAGTGGAGGGCTCGTCTGCAACCGAACCACAATCGGAAACGAACCTGGGAGGGGAAAAGAAAAAGTTCGCCAGGCCTTATAAGCTTAGTGGGGCAGCAAGGAAAAGATACCGAAGGCTGATAGCAGCTGAGATAGGAGCTGAAGAGGCCCTCTCTCTCTGCCAGTTGCCCTTATGTCTGCGATTCTGCGAGTGGACAAGGACATTTGTATTTGTCCTTTGTTTGGTGCGGTGATATTTTATGAAGATGTTTAAGTATGTATTATGTAAAATTAGTTTTTAAATCAGTTTAAATCAATTATGTAAAAGTAGTATTAAATAAATGTGATTATATTAAATAAAATACATGACTTGATTAAAAAAAATCTCACCATTGTTAGGTAGCTAGGTATTCTACATTAGAGTATTGGTACATGTTTACAATAACTATAAGCGGGCAACGATACACACGCGGAAACATAAGCAATTTATACGTCACGCCGTAGCTATTCATATCTGACTGAAAAGAGAGAGCAGGCTGCCTGCGGCGGGCGGCCTTATCCTTATGCCTGCGATCCTTCGAATGGACAAGGTCCTTTGTACTTCTCCTTTGTTTGGTGCGGTGAGTGCGTTACAAATTCATTATTTTATTGCCGCTTGTAAAGAAGAGTGCGTGTGGTTTGAATTTCGATTGGTTTTAATTGATTTATTTATTTAGTTCAATGTTTTTATTTATATAGTTTTAGTATGGAATGTTAACTTCAAATTATTTATAAGTAATTAGTAGTATTTATTGATATACCAATTTCATAATATATTAATGTTAAAAAAAAAATGTAAAATATCAGTACCGTAGGCTTCTACTCAGTTCACCTGTTACACTTTATTTTTTCCAGACGGTAAAAAAATCAGTAAACTTGTTGATGTTATGTTTACAAGGAAATTTATTTGTAAGTTCTCTTTTAATTTATTTGTAAGGGTAGCAGAGGTTCTTAAAGTTTTTTTAAAAGGTTATAAACATCTTTTGACATTTTTCTGGTACATGGTGCACTATTGGAAGCAGATATATCCTTTAAGAAGAGCTTGATATATTAGAATGGCTAGGCATTATTATTCCAATAGACTACTGATTTTGTTTCACCAATTGTAATTGTTTATAAAAATAATAAAATACGTATTTGTGGTAACTACACAAAAGAACTTTCACTATTGAAGTGAAGGTTTAGTTTTTCTTTCTCAGAATGCATTGACGGTTTAAAAGCATGTTTTCATTTTATTATCTTTTAGTTGAGTGCGCTAGTAACTTGTAAAATGGTATAAGGGAAGACTTATTCCCACAATTTTTTTTCTAGTCAACATTTAGTCTTTGATAAAGTCTTTGTTAAATTTTGACATTTTATATTCTTGTATTTCTTTTTTGAAAAATGATTTTATATTTCACAATTTGGATTTTGAATTAACATGTTTTAACTTAACATAAATATTCATTGTAGATTGTAACTTTACATTGTAATATTTCATTGTTCTGTGTTCGATAATTATGTCAACAAATTCTAGCGAACCGTCGTCGCGTAGTTCAGCGTACGCGTGACGCGGTATTGACTAGGTACTTACCTCGATTTAAGGCCATGTTACTTATAATATTTTTTTGTTTAATTTTTTTTCAAAGGGGACGATGTGGTGGCGACTGTACGTCGAGTTTGCAGTTTTGAATCAGCATTTTAGCTAGCTGCCGCAAGGCGAGTCAGTCGCCCCCCGCTTATATAGCTTCAGATCGGTACTTCTGTAGCGTAGTTTGGTATTTTAGGCTTTGCATAACTGTAGTACTCGTAATTTAGTTGTTAATTAAGAGAATCATTGTGAAAATAGAAATACATCTCTATATCTGAACAATTGAATTTTATTGTGCACCACAACTTCTAAACTGTTATTAAAGTACAAGGAACAGTAAAGTACAGTAATCTGGAGTCACAAGAATATTAACTAAAATTAAACCAAACCAATACCCATAAAACCCACGAAGGTGGATTCCGGGTCTAGGACCTGTTTTGTGGCCTCCACGGTTTCTCAATATAATTCTATAATAAAACAAAAAACATTCATCGAAAAATTAAGCCCTTGAGTAAAAAAATAACAATAATCTTATTGTTTTATTGAAAATTGTTTTTGTTTTATTGTTTTTAAATCTTCGTTTTTTATTGCAAATTTTTCAAGCCAATGGGCATCAAGGATGTAGTACTTTTTAACACCACAGTATCTTAAACTTGGACGAAAAATCTTGTTCCGTAGAAATTTGCAAACTCAAAAATTTCAAAATTAAAAGAAAGCAGTTTAGACATGTAACTGTTTACTTCGGAATACAGGACATTGCAGCGGTACTTATACAGTATTCGACTAAAATCTTCCGTTTGGTGTGATAGTAATTTACGACGAGTGTAATTATATATACGAGGGCTCTTGAGCCCCGAGAAAATATTGTTGTTTTCATTGAATGCGGCAGTAAAAAAATGTAAAAATGTACCCATCACAAGACTACTTTTGAACATAGGCCTCCAATTTACATCACCTCGTAGGACGAATATTTGCCTAGTTTTATGCAACTTCACATGTTCTTCAATAGTTAATATTTTATTTTTCGTAGGGTCATAAACCAGTGGCTACACGTACAAGCCCCCTACCGCAACAAATTACATCTAATCGGAGTCATCATACAGGATAACTGCATGCATGCTCGAAAGGTCAAATTAGGCACTCACATTCATTTGGGGACTTTCCAGGTAAAGAAAACAATAATTATAATCAACGACACAACAACATCCGTATCGCAACTAATAGCAGCAGCAACAACAACAACAACAGAATACTACGCTAGTTACATATGCCTACCGAGACCTTGCAAGCAAGCAGGAAGTCATCTACAATATAGCATCGCAGTCTAAGCAAATAGAAAGAAAGCAAATAGTATAAAATTCGATAAAAATCTTGAAATATTATAGTGACTGTGGTAATTCATCCATGCATTTAATACCAACATTGATTTAAAAAATGTTAATTACGGAATACAACTTTTATGTACCCCTGTACCCACGTGTTGCCAACACCATCTCTTTTCAAAATATTTGGCAGTTATTACCAGAACAATCATCTACAATATCAAGTTTTACTATCAATCAATTAGAAGATATAATTGATATTGCAAATCGAAACACTGTTACATTTGATTTTCAACGTGTAGAAGAAATACCCAACCACATATGTCATTATTGGACTGGTCTCGAAGTGACCGAATTTTGTTATTTTATTTAATGAGTTACCTTTATTTAATCAGGTACCGTCACCAAAAACTGCTCTGGCTATCTTTTTAATTAAAATGAGAACAGGTGACAGTAACAAGGGGTTATCTTCTTTATTTAATATAAATCGATCAATAATGGCACATGAACATTGTACGCTCATGTTTTATGGAACATTTTGTGCCATTGCATATTGGGTTGCAACATCTTACTAGACAAGATATCATAAGAAAAAGTCTTAGTATTCCAAATGCTTTTTTTGGCAATCCAAATGACTCAGATCAAACAAGACCTGCAATCACAATATGTGATGACACTCACATATAAACTACTCAAAACAAAATAGGGCCCACCATGTTTTATAAATGAATTTTATAGATTCTTTTTCTTTTTAAGTTTTTATGGTTAGGAATGAATAAATTAAGGTTTTTGAAAGTGTGTGAACATTAACAAGAGTAAGTTTTGCCAATTTTATGGAATTTAGTCAAAATAAACAGTTTTTAGGAAAGTTTACAGAAATTATTGATTTAAGTAAAATTTGATTTTGATTTTTATTATTGACT